TAAGATGGTAAATAAATGGAGGCCGTAAGATCTCTGAGTGGAAGCGTAAGTCAAAAGGAAAGAGTATAAAATTATGGAAGAAAATCTAATAATAAGCAACAGGTGCTGCTTAAAATGTAGTCTGGTGGAGGCAGACCTTGAAACAAAGTGTTTGAATATAACCGGACCCAGGTGTTAAGCACTGAATGAACAGTGGAGTAAGAGGGCATTGTAGAGCGATGTAATTAATTTTTCTGAGAAGAGGCAAAGAGTTTTGATGCCTTCAGTGCTTAGGACGGTACCTAGAGGAGATTTTATAAAAGTGCATTTGGAATACATGGACAAAAAATGTTTTTGTTTGGAAAACACATCTTTAATTTAGTGTGACTCCAGTGACAATACTTGCCTGCAAATTTTTGAGCAAGTTACTTCTTATTCCTGGAGCTTAATTTCCTCATCTGGAAAATAACAAGCCTAGATTAGATGATCTCTAAGATTCTCTCAACTTCTGGGGACACTAAGCACCCATGAATTAGTTCTCAACAGAAAGCTGCCTTCAATACTAAATAAAAGCCAAATTATCTACTTCTCAAAGCAATTTTCCTTTTTTATCCCTCGTGTTAATAACAAGAAGTGAACTATTCAAAATGTAGAATTATCTGCCTTAAGTTGAGGTGGAAACCAATTTAACATCCTGGCCAGAAAAATAATTAAAAGAAGGGTAATGAGATTTTCCATAATGTATTTTAAAATGGTAGCCAAAGCACAAAAGTTAAAGAATGAGGAATAAGCAGGATAGACGTATTAGTTACAAAGAGAAAAATAGAAATGTAACTATGTATGTGAGAGTTCAGTATTTTAAACAATGGAGAAATCTTGGATATTTTAATCACCAGCATAAGAAAACTACATCTTTGACAGACAAAAACAAAACTTGATTCCTAACTTACTTCTTGCATCAAAAGACACTCGAATGATAGCAAAAGTTCAAATGTAAAAATAACTTGTCAATTAGAATATCTTTATAATCTTGATATAGGGAAGAAAAGAACGTCACATAATCCACAAAATACTGATGGAGTAGACAACATAAAACTTCACAAATTTCTTTATAAAACACAGACATACACACAAATTAGAATTGTAAATGACACTAAGAAAAGGAAATTTGCAATTTATATTATCAGAAAGAGGATGATATCACTTGTTCTTTATCAGGAGGAAATTACAAATCCATAAGAAAAAGAGGAAGATGACGAAAGTAGGCAAAGAAATGCAGAGATACGGCAGGCACAGCAGGTCCCGCGCACATCGCACACTGCTGCCGGTCTCTTTCCTTCCCCTCCCTGACCTGCCTGAGAAGGCAAAACAGGCTGCTCTCAAAAACTCTCCGGTGTGAAGCAGCCAGATTATCACTGTGTGTTTTAGAAATGAATAAAAACGTGAATAAATAACGAAGCCAACCATTCAAGGTATTTTCTCACAGTTTAGATCAGTCAATGAAAATACCTGGCACAGGCTTTCTCTGAAAGCCTTCCAGCAGGCGCATGGTCCAGAGAGCTGACTTCTAGTTGCTGTCAGATCTCAGGCAAGTCACTTCAGCTCTCTGAACTTGTTTCCTCCTCTGTACAAGGGTGAAAGCATCTGTTACGGTGTTTTTCAATGATGAAGGGAAATAAGAGACATGATCATGCTTTATAATATCTCCGGGTGATTCACGTGGAATTTGGTGCAGGTGCCTGGAAAGGCATAGAAGAAAAGCAAGCTGGTAAATGTATGTGCCAGCTCGGCCAACAGAGGCCTAAAAACGGCCTTTACAATAATTTTAAGATGTGGATTAATCTTCTCAAGTCAGATTTTCAGTAACAGTTTTAAGGAGATGTTCATCTGCTCTGCTTGAGGCAGGTGAAGTTTATAAGCCTGATCATGAGAAAAGAAATAGAAAAAAATGCAGAACGGATGTGAGAGTTCAAAAGGGTAAACATTATGAGACTATTTAAAACTACATAGCACTGTGTACCAACAGAACAATTATGTAAAATTATAAAGAATTATTTAACTGTGCAAGAAAAAGTTGAATTCACTTGTAATGGCATCTGTTTAAGAAGAAATTGAAATAAAATTATTAATCCATCCAGGAAAGTTTTCCAAAAAGTTTCAAATAAATTGAAATTAGATTCTTAGACCTTCTTCTATTCAAAAAGTTCCAATATCCTGAATGATTTATTTCTTAAGGTTTTTAGAGAGTAAAGGTGTTAATGCAAATACCAAATAAATCAAAAGCAGAGACAATATGTTCCTTTTCTGTTGCATCCCATTTTTTTCTTTGTTCTTTTTTCTTTTTTAGAAAGAGCCTTGCTGTCTTGTCCAGGCTGTAGTGCAGTGGTATGATCTCACATCACTGCAATCTCTGCCTCCTGGGTTCAAGCGATTCTCCTGCCTTAGCCTCGCTATTCGCTGGGACTACAGGTGCATGCCACCACACCCAGCTAATTTTTGTATTTTTAGTAGAGACAGTGTTTTACCATGTTGACCAGGCTGGTCTCAATCTCTTGACCTCATGATCTGCCTGCCTCAGCCTCCCAAAGTGCTACGATTACAGGCATGAGCCACCACGCCCTGCCAGCATCATTCTTAATGCAACTGAGAACTATGATATTTTATTCATAATAAAGATGTGCTAAAGTTATGTGAACTACATGAACTCCTCCAACCCCAAGTCAAAATCTTAGAGTCCATGCTAGGCTTCTACTCACATCTCTTCCTTCCACTACCGATAGTCACACCATAAAGTGACCAAGTAAACTGTTATTTACACAATCTAGAATATCAGCACTCACACCTGCCTCAGACAGCTTACCACCATTACACAACTCCAGTGAGTCCTGCCCTCGGACGTTAGATCTAAACAAGACTAACACAGGAACCAGCTCAGCCGTCTGCCTAGGCAGCCATAAGCAGTTGATGTGCATATGAACACTGGGCTTGAACTGAAAAGACCTCAGGGGCCACTCAAAACAACACACTGCTTGGCTGCCATGTGTGCCAAGAACAGAGCTAAGAATTTCACTGCTCTCACCCTTTTTTTGCTTCAGACAATCCTGTGAGGTGGGTGCTATTGTTATATAATAACTGTTACCCTTATCCCTCTTTAGAGAAGGTGGAAACTGAAGCACATGGCAGTGCTGGGATCTACCGCAATTCTCCACCGCGTCCCTCCCATGCCTCTCTTCCTAGGAACTGCATGCTGTCAGGTCAGCCCACTTTTCTGAGCCTCTGAGCCTCAGGAAACTTGCATGGGTTAACCCCTGAGGTCTTCTAAATTCTTCGTGAGTAGGTTGACACCCTGCTCTGGCAACTTCCCTTAGAGGCCTAGGGAGGAGCTCAGATCCCTTGTGGAGCTTGAGCTGGCAAGAAGTCTAGGGCACCAGGGTGTAGCTCCTGCTATTTCACTGTCCCTCCCTGATCACCTCCACCCAGTTTGCATAACAGCAAAACAGTGTTCTGATCCACTCAGGGACAGGACACTTACCTCCCTGCTGTATCCTTCCTTAAAGACAACAGGAGGCTGTCACACAAAGCTACAGACTGGAAAAACCGGAAAAATAGCCTCCTCTCTGCCTTCTAGGGAGTCGGTTTCCATGATCTAACTTAGCCTCACCCGGAAGGGTTAATTTGCAAAGGATTCTAGGAGTTAGAGTCCTGACACTGGCTTCCTAAGAAAAGACTTTGCTGGGGACAGTGCGGAGTAGTGCAGAGATGAAGGCCTTGAGAGATGTGCATGTGTGCAGTTGATCCACAGGCACAGGTAGATAGGCAGGCAACAAATAATGGCCATCTAAGGCTTTCTCAGCTGCTGCTTTTAGAAACAGCCTGTCAACATTTCTCCAGGTTCTACATTGTCTTTGAATATTGAATTTTTAACCCCAAAGTCCACGTAATTCATTCAGGCAATTGCTCAATATTATTCCAATTTCATGTAATTCATTCAGGCAATCACCCTGTATTATTTAAATTTTAGCCCTCTTTTAGAATACCCATTCTCCATGTCATCTTTTCCAAACCTATAGCACTAAATGCCGTCAATTTCAGAAGGACTCCTCGTTTATATGTTAGCTCCAACCACCCAGCTGAATTCTAGACTCCAGAACACATTTTCCTGGCACGTCCACTGGCGTCTCTGGCAGGTATCTTGCCCCTAGTGTCCGAAACGAAGCTTTTCATTATACATCTCCCCAGCTTGCAGGCACCACACATACAAACAGGTGCTGTCATCTCAGAAAATGGGACCACTGTCTCTGTAGTTGCTCAGGGTCAAAAATAAAAATAGTTTTCAGATATCCTATTCCATATTCTTACATCAACATCTGCTGTTGCCACTGTACCTTCAAAATAAATTCCAAATGGAGCCATTTCTTACCCCCTGCACTGCCAGCCCCTGGTGCAAACCACATTGTCCTCTCACCTGGCCTTCCACAGCCCCCTTGTAACTGGGCTCCTGCTGATATTTTAGTCCACTGTAGTCTATTTCCCACTTAAAATCTCAAGTTCTTATCAGGGTTTGCAGGTATGAAATCTGGATTTGGCCACCTCTGTCCTCAACTTCCCCCAAGGTTTACACCAGCCACTGGGCTTTTTTCAGAGGGTGCTGTTAGGGGCTGAACTGTGTTACCCCCAGATGCACATGTTGAAGACTTAACCCTCAGTATCTCAGAATGAGGAGAGTCTGTTATTTACACAATATAGAATATCAGCACTCCTACCTGCCACAGACAGCTCACCACCATTAGACATCTCCAGGGAGTCCTGCCCATGCCAATAACAGAATTTGGAGTGTCTTTGAAGAAGTATTTAAGTTAAAATGAGGAAATGAGAGGGGGCACTAAACCCAATCCTACTGGCATTCTTATAAGAAGTTAGGACACAGCCACACGCAGGCAGACCACGTGAGGATGCGGGGAGAAGACGGCTGTCTAAAAGCCAAGGAGAGAGGCTTCAGAAGATGCCAGCCCTGCTAATACCTTCAGAGTTCCAGTCTCCAGCACTGTGGGCATGTACATTCCTGTTGTTTTAGCCCCCGGTCTGTGGAAATTTGTTGTGGTATCCCGAGCTGACTCATCCAGGTGCCAACATACAGGGTTTCCATGGCTCACCAGCTCAGAGCACCGGCAGAATCTTGGACAAGAGAAAATTCTCTGGTGAGAACTCCTTATCCGACAGTCTCTGATGTTGAGAATCACTTGGGGTGGTTGGCAAAATATTATAAACAGTATTAAAGACATATTAGGGAAAGTTATAGATTAGTCTCAGACCATTTGGAAGGCCGAAGGCAGCCAGCTTGTCCATTATGTTAAGTTAGAAAGAGACAGAGACTGACCAAAGGCCTTGGCCCACACGCATTTGTCTCCAGTCTAACTGTTGACTCATGCTAATTTTGTGCCGGGTGGTCTCTCCGGGGAAGATGAAAGGGAAATTACCTGTTAATAGCATTTACTCTGGGCCCCAGAACCTAAAGCTTTTACCAGTCTTAAAATCATTCTCTCAACCATGTTAATTATCCACAAGTGTATTAACTTAGAACCTCCGTTGTAAAATCTTAAGGGAATAAATGTGTGGACAGACAGATTGGTTGCCTTTCGTCCACTGACAGCAGCCAATGGCCATCCCTAGCCCACTTGTATCACTGTAATGGTGTGACAGTATATTCATTCATGTCGCTGAGTCAGGGTCTGCAGGTCAGACTTCCACAGATGTGTCCCACATCTCACTCTGATGGGAAGGGGTGCTGTTCAAACATGGCCTCTTCCCAGGGGTCCTGAGGCACGCCACTGCCAGCACCACAACCTCTCCTTCATGAAGTCCTCACGCAATTGCGGTCTGACATCCATGCCCTTCAAATGAGGCATTAAGTATGAATAGTGAGGGATGAACATTATTCAAGTCTGTTCTCCAGATTCGGCTCAGAGCTAGTGCACAAAGCACAATGGTTCCCACAAAACAAACTCTTCCAAACTGTGTCAATGTCTGGAGCCCCAGAGGGCAGTCACACTTCACCAACGTGGTGAATTACTCTTCTACAAAAACTCTGGCTTCCTCAGCCTGACACCCTCTCTGACTAAGTGGGCACCCACCTTCTCCCCCACCCCATCCAGGGCCCCTGCCTCCCGGGAAGGACGGTAGCCTGCTGATGCGTGGTCCAGATGATGCATCTCTCCCGCGTCATTATGTGACATGTCAGAGGCTGGGTTTCATTTTCATGTCTGCATTGATAGACCCTCCCATATGAGCAGTTTCCCAGAGAATGTCCACTTTCCTCACAGCCAGAACAAGATGACAGCTCTGCGTTAAAGCGTTCATCAGTACTGCCTCTGGGCACCCCTCTGGGCACCCCTTTACTGACCGGAGCTGGTCAGTATCCCTGGTCTAGCCAGGCTCTTTCCTAGCCATTTTCAAGATGCAACTCCTGGGTACTGAGTCCTGACGGGCACTAATCTCCACGGTTCTCCAGGAATGAACAAACAAGGGAATTAGCACATGTAACCCATGCATCCACAAAAGCAGTGCCTCTTTAAGAAAGGGCAGTGAGCTACCCATCCTCTTTGAGAAAGAGGCACTACTTTTGTGGATACACGGGATGTCCCCACAGCTATGCTTTTGCGATTGGTGTCCAGCAGCCTTCAAACGAGTGAGGAAGGTGCATTCCATAGTGCAAAACTGGGCTGTAGGTGCCCAGCAGGGGGAGCTGGAGGTCCTCGTGTTCACGAAGGCCCCTGTCTCTCTCCCTGTCTCCCTCTGCTTGACTGTTACCAGCAATAAATATGATCATGTCTAAGCATCATTCGTCCCCTGGAATATCCTGGAATTTAAAACCTCTATTGTAAAACCAGATTCTGTAGGTATCCTAAGTATTTTCTTCCAGGCCAGTTCCCTTACCCTCTACTTTTTGGCACAGTTAATTCCTATGTTAAATGACTAAAGCATTGATGCCTTCTAACAGTGAATGTCTACATTGTGGATGGAAATCCTGGGTTTGTCCTGGCCTTGAACAGACCTGGACGAGTAGACCTTTCTACCCCGAGGTCCAGCTCCTCAGGTGGAACGTGCAGCACGGACCTCTCTGAAAATGACCAAGACAACAGGAACAAAAGACTAAGAAAAGAAATTGGGGAAAGAAATGTGTACTACATAGTTCGAATACATCGAGCTTACTGTGAAAACTCATTTTTTGGAGATAGAGAGAAGATAAGGTGCCAGGTAGAGACTAAATTGTTCATCTCCAGGTTTTCAAATGGAATCTTGACCAGATTTGGGTCTCAGTTAACAAAGCTCAGGACAGCTGAGCCCATAGCAGGTGTTACTGAGGATACTTAGTGGCAAAAGGAGGGTCTGCAGCTGCAGGTCCCTCTCACCTGGTGACCTTGAGGAAGGTGAAGCAGCATACTGGGCACAGTGCTGGGTTTGGGGGTGCAGGAAATCAGATCAGAGCTGCCCAGAGGAGGACTGCGTCTGCTCACAGAAACATATCTCACAGGCCCTGTTAGAGCAGAATAAAGAGATCATAAGTGACCACCTACCGGCCATTCAAGATCTGGTTCTTCCTTTCCTGCTTTCTGTCATTTATATCACACAATACCCCCTCCCTGCACACAAGCTTTCAGACACGGAGACATGCATATGCACACGTGCAGCACATACATCCTCAGTTTCCACCTCACAACACACCCCTCTCACTACACATGCGTGCACATGCTTCCACACATATAAACATACAAACATACACACAGGTACATGCATGCACACACACACACTCTGAAGTGCAGACTCCAAACTCTAAGAGACCTGGTTTAGTCTCTGAGGCTAAAGCTGCTCAGATTGACATGCCCAGGCCATGGAACCAAATTTTTGCACAAGGCCCGCTTGGAGAGGCTCTATTGCCCCAATTTACAGTTGAAAGACAGAGACCATGATAGGTGAAGTCATTCACTAATGATCCCACAGCTTGTTGGTGGCACCATTGAGACTGCAGCTTCCAGCAGAGAGCACGTTGGCCTGCTCTATTACCCGAAGCCCATAATGCAGAGTTTCATCCCTGCAAAGGGGACAGCTACATCTGGGTCCTATGTCCCAGGTTGCTCCAAGGCTAGGACCTGTTGAGCTTTCTCCAAAAGGGTCCAGAGAAGGATAAGGCTCCTCAGGGCTGTGAGTCTCCTGGAGGTCAATGTCCCTCAAGGGACCAAAGGAGTCTGAGTAGCTAGGGGAGTGAAAAGATCCCAGCTCTGTGCTACCTGGAGAAAGCAACATCCCAGGGCAGTGAGCTATCCCAAACCTGTGTGGCTGTGAAATAGAGGCATCCTTTGGGTTGATACTTCAGACCTTTGACAATTCTCCAATCCAGCGGCTGCACTGAAACACCTGTTCTCTGTGTTCATGAAGGCCCCTATCTCTCTCCCAGTCTCCCATCTGCTTGACTGTTACCAGTAATAAACATGGTCACGTCTAAGCATTATTTGTCCCCTAGAATATCCCGGAATACAAAACCTCTATTATAAAACCAGGTTCTGTAGGTATCTTAAGTATTTTCTTTCAGATCAATTCCCATGCCCCCTACTTTTTAGCACAGTCAAGTTAATTCCTGTGTTAATTAAATCATCAGTCAGGGGAGTACCTGCCTTCTAAGAGTGAATGTCCACATTATGGATGGAAATCCTGTTTTTGTCCTGTCCTGAGTATAGAACAGGACTCAGAGGAAAGGACAAGAAAAATAGTTCTTCAGTTCTTCAGGCTTTATTTTAAATGACAGCAGGTCTTTGAAGTCAAGAGGACAATAGATAATGGGCACCTTGCTGCGGTTAAAGGAAAAAAAAGGAACGGGAAAGGTATTTTCTTCTAAATGATTATTTACAAGCACATTAATAAACTGAAATTATTTTCTATAATGTCAGTGAAGTTTTCTTTCTTTCCTTTTTTTTCTTTTTTTGAGACTGAGTCTCACTCTGTTGCCCAGGCTAGAGTGCAGTGGCATGATCTTGGCTCACTGCAACCTCTGCTGTCTGGGTTCAAGTGATTCTTGTGTCTCAGCCTCCTAAGTAGCTGAGACTACCGGCACCTGCTGCCACATTCGGCTAATTTTCGTGCTTTTAGTACAGAAGGAGTTTCACCATGTTGGCCAGGCTGGGCTTGACCTCCTAACCTGAAATGATCTGCCCACCTCAGCTTCCCAAAGTGCTGGGATCACAGGCGTGAGCCACCATGCCCAGCCCAGTGGAGTTCTCTAGAAATACTCTGCCAGAAATAAGTGAGAAACATGGTGATTGGCAGCAGAGTTTGTCCAAGGCTGAGCAATGGGCTGCCGACAGGTCCTGAAAGATGGACCACCAGGCATCTTCCAGCCGGGGCAGTGCTCAGCTTTGCCTGTCACGCCACAGGGCCTGGACAGTGGCTTTTAAACCACCCATTTCTTTTTTCAGATTTTTTGCTCACTCAATTAATTTTGGAGTCAGAAAAGGAAGAAGAGAGACTGACAATATCAATTTCTCTAATTGATGAGGACTCTGGGTGATCAAACACATGACAGAATTCATGGAGAATGGTTAGAACTGGAATGAAAATGTCCCAAATTGTTTCTTGAATCATTCAGAGAGACAATGCCAGAGAGATGTAGGCTGGGAAGCAATCGTGGAATGCTATCTGCAAACTCAGCAATGTCCAGTGAGAAATAGAGAAGCGGGATGAATGCAGATGGTTTAACACCTGGTGCTAAATGGCCACCAGGGCAAAACACGGACCATGACAGGTGGACTCACTGATGCAGGAAGTTCAGTGCCTCCCAGTCTCCCTGTTAATTCACTAAGCCAAATAAATATTATAGATGCTACAGATCTGCTTGAGATCCTCTCCTTTTCGTAAGGCAGCGTAAGTGAGAGATACACTATATTCGTTTCTCTGCAAGGAAAGAAGAAACTGATATGCATATCAAATACCTCAACCTCTTCACTGTATTCTAAGGGTCTGGTTTTTATTCTACTCTCTCAAAGCAATAGCATGACTTGCTGCTCTATAATTTTGTAGGAGTCATAAAAAATAAAGACAGGAGTTTGGACTGGCACAAAGAGTTCAGAAGCCCACACAATCCCATTTATAATAGC